AGGTGTAGCAAGATAGTGAATTTTGTAGCCAGACTGGAGTACAAATGATGTTTAGGAGGGAAATAGGTTGAGGGGTAGCTATGTTTTAGCTAAAAAATCATCATGAACCATGCATGTAACAGCTCTTTCCAGGATTCTGAACAAAGCTTGACATTGGGAAATACCAAAGGGCCCGATGCTTCTGCTACCAGCCAGGATAGCAGGCCCACTCTGAGTTTACCAGTGAGATTTATTTGACAGGAACCCGGCCGTGCACAGTTGTTGGGGTGGGGGGGGAAGGTGTGTGCTGGGAAGTGAGAGTCTGCATGGGAGGATTAAAAAAGGAGTCATTAACCTCCTGGTGGACCAGCATGAATGGACTGGTTGCAGGAAAACCTGCTAAGCGCGCACATCCAGCTGCTGAAGTGAGACAGTGAAGGGGCAGCTTAGGGAGGGACTCATGGGAAGCACCTGCTGCTGTGTGATGACCACTTCCCTGCAGCTAATGCTGGGTGACTAGTAGAACCAACACTGGGAGGACAAGCTGGATGTAGCATAGAGGAGAGATGAAACTCACCAGGAACTTCTCTGTCTGTTCATAGCACTGTCTTACCACCAAGATTTCTGAGGATCACAGCTCTCCTTGACTTCTGCTCTCCAGTCCTGTGCATGCTCCTCTTCAGGCAAATTCTAACTCAGAAATATAGAGTAGAAAACACTATGAAACACAATTCCCAGCTTAAGTCAACAGAACAAAGTCCAGCAAACTCTTTCAACCATAAGAGATGCCTCAGCTCTGTTCAGAGGATGCAATGTGATGGGGAGAGTCCCAGTATTCACTTGCACACTCTAATCCCCACAAGTCCATGGCCGGTTCACATCTAGTTCATGTATCTAGTTCATACCTAGTTCATTGTGCCCAGATTATAATGGTAATCTCTAGCACCTGTCTTCGTGTCTGTCTTAGAGTGTTGCATAAATATACATTGAATGAAAAGAACTCACTCTAAGTCAGAAGCCCGGAGTTCACTTCTGTTTCTGCCACTGGGACAGTTATCTGTTTCTTGGCTCTCAAGTTCATGCTTGCCCTTTTATATTCTCCTCTGTATGCACATGGTTGGAGTTCTAAAAATCACATTTCCTAGAAACCCTCGACTTAGCCAGTGGAATAACATACATAAGGTTTTAAGGTAGGAAAAAGATGGAAGCTGTACTTTTTTCCTTTCCTGCTTCTGACTTTAGCAGTTGTAGGAGCAATGCAACAACTACACTGAGAGTCCAGGTTATTTTTTTTGTTTTTTAATGTATAATATTTTATTGATTTTTTACAGAGAGGAAGGGAGAGGGAGAGAGTTAGAAACGTCGATGAGAGAGAAACATCGACCAGCTGCCTCTTGCACACCCCCTACCGGGGATGTGCCTGCAACCAATGTACATGCCGTTGACCGAAATTGAACCTGGGACCTTTCAGTCCGCAGACCGATGCTCTACCACTGAGCCAAACCGGTTTCGGCAAGGCCAGATTATTTATTCAGTTTTAGATACACATCTTGCCCTCAGTAAAGCATGGCAAACAGATAGCAAACAGACTGTCTCTAAGGTCAGTAAAGATCAGTAAGGTCTAATAAACATTTACTTGGAGGCTATCAGGTCAGGAAATTGCTTCGAGCCACCACAATCTCCATATGAACAATCGGTGCCTGGCCTAGCCTAAGCCCTTCTACTGCTCTAGGTCCATGGGCCTCCTGCGTTCCTCAGTGCATGTTCATGATAGTGCCGGTATGTGGTGGCTTCCAGCAGGTTGTCTAACCAAAGAGTCCTCCCTCTGGTGACAGCAGGAAGCAGTTGCACAGGCCTGGGCTGCGTTTTACCTTTTTCATCTAAGGTAAAATCAACTATATGTCTGGTTCTTACCAATTATAGATATCTGTTGCTTTCAGTTTAATGAATTGTTGCTTAACAATCTAAAGATTGTTTGCTTTCTCCACTTCTTCTCCTCTGTCTGGACCCTAGGGGATGGTGGAGCCATAGATAAAAGGTGACAGAGTCCCTGAATCACTGTATGGAGGAAAGTTTTGTCAGACCAGTAAAACATGCATTAGAGTGATATAAGTAAGAAATAAATTTCTGTTGGATTAAGTCACTGAAATTAGCATTACCTTAATATACATCTCATGCCTACATTGCATGTTCTTTGTTCATCCTGTTCCTTCTGTGCAATTTCTCCTTTGTATTTGTTGATCTTTATATCTTCCACAGCTCCTAGCACACAGTGCCTTCTACATAGTAGGCACTTAATTGTTGTTAATTCAAATTAGACATATTTCCTGCACTAATATAAATCCTTAAAATGAGCTTAAAACAGTTTCAAGGCAGAATATAGAAAAAATGCAATATTCTTATGATATAGTACAAACTGGGTAGAAGAAAACTTTTATTATAACCAGAAAAAAATTCATATAATAATAAGCTCAAATGAAAGATTTATTTTCTGTTTCTAGGAGGCAGTTAAAATAAAAGATTGAGAAAGATGGCATTTTTCTGTGGCAGGGCAGGCTTTAAATAAAATTGAGATTGCTTTCTCATCTCTTTTCATTGTCTTTCTTTCTTGTATTTCTCTAAACTTTTTATGTCCTTGTAAAAGAGAACATTAGAGTGCTCTCTTCAATTAACCCAATGCATTTGACAACCATCTTCCCAAGGGCCTGTTCCTGCGTTTGATAGGCACACTGTGTGGTGAACATTTCTGACCTTGGGGTAAGGCGATGTTCTGCCTGGCCTATGAGGGGGTATTTTTCAGCTGATGATCCTGCTGGCATCTCCCCTATGAATATGGCAATATTTCACTCCTAGAACATGAAAGATCCCATCTAACTCAATCATGCTTCAGATATCAGAGTGGAGCTTCTGTCTGAATTGTTATTTTAAAACTGACCCTCAACAAGAGGAGAAATTGTGTGTTTTGTTTTGCTTTCTTAAATAACTTTTAGTTCTAATACTAGAGGCCCAGTGCATGAATTCATGCCCAGGTGAGGTCCCTTGGCCTGGCTGGTGATTGGGGCCGATGGGGAAGGAAGGGAAGGCCTGCTGGCTGGGAGGAGAGGCCATGGGAGGTTGGCCGACCTCAGGAGGTTGGCTGTGGGAGCTTACTGACCGTCAGGGGGCAGTTCCTGCATTGAGCGTCTGCCCCTGGTGATCAATGTGCATCATAGTGACCCATCGACTGGTCGTTCTGTTGTTTGTTCACTTAGGCTTTATATATATAGATTTAGGTTTTATATATATATAGAATTAATTCATTAATGACTACAAATAAAATATATTTTTTATTGTGCAGAAACTTAAGAGTTGCTGGGTTGGGTTGATGACATGAAGAGCATTGCTAGAAACCAATTTGGCTTCATGGAATGTTTTATTATACGATAATCATCTAAGCAGCACTTTAAAACATGTAAACTTAGGATCATCCCTCAATCTTTGCTTGCTGAATCGGGTTCTGCAGAGTCAAAGAAGCTTGAAAATGATGGCTAATTATGCCTTCTGTAACAATGGCAAGTTTCCTTTGTGCATCTTTGTCTGTGTAATGGTTTTGCTAAGGTGATGAAAAGTTTAGATATTATAACCAGGTGTACAACTAGATGCCTAAGATAGAAAGACAAAGGCTGGTTCCTGTGCGCAGGGAACTCTGAGCAATTGCATAGAGCCAGGAAGACTATATTGTAAATAAGGTGTCTTTCTAAAAAAAAAATATATATATATTTTATTGATTTTTTTACAGAGAGGAAGAGAGACGGGTAGAGAGTTAGAAACATCGATGAGAGAGAATCACCGATCAGCTGCCTCTTGCACACCCCCTACTGGGAATGTGCCCGCAACCAAGGTACATGCCCTTGACCAGAATCGAACCTTTCAGTCTGCAGGCCGACTGAGCCAAACCATTTTCGGCTATAAATAAGGTGTCTTAATAGTTTTATAATAATTGGCTATCTTAAGGCATGACAGCACGTGTATATTTGTTTTTTAGGTCATGCATCATGCCGTCTTCAACTTTCTGTCTCCAGTATTTAGTAGAAAAATGTAGAAAATAGTAGGTTTTTTTTTTTCCCCCAAATGTCTGCTACATAAAGAACTTTGATTCAGAAATCTTGGTTTCAGTTTCTGTGCATTGCTTATTACTTGTGTTTCATTTATTCATTATATGATTTTTTCTTTCACTCTACCACCATATATAGTGTATCCATCATGTATCAGATATTATGCGATATGCTTCTAAAATAGAGCTGAATGAGAAATAGTTATTGTTGCTCTCTCAGCATCCAGATGGAGGGGCAGGAGGCAGAGCAAGCTTGGTGCCATGTGATGAAATTTGTGAGTGAGTACAGAGGAGGCAGCCTGCTTCTGGAGAAGGTGAATAAGGAACAGTCAAGGATGGTTTCTTTTTGGAGAGGTGATGCTTGAATTGAGCCTTGACAAATCAGTAGAAGCCAGCCAGGTGGACAGGAGTTAGACTAGAGGGAAGGTGTTTAATGAAGAAGGAACAACCTATGCAAGGGAATGGGTTGGTGGATGCCAGGAAAGGGATGTGATGTTTGAAAAGGTATGTGTGGGAGCACCGCAGGGGTTACCAGGAGACAGGCCATGACCTTTAATGCCATGCTAAAGAAACAGAACTTTATCCTAAAGCTGAAAGATGGATGTGACGTAACTTATAAACTCCATGGACGTGACATGGAGTTTATAAGTTACTTAACCTTGTAAGATTTTTTTTTTTAATCCATAAAATACAGAAAGTATTAGTGATCTCTCTGAAGGTACCTGGGAAGACTGGAACATCCTATAGCATATGACAGAGATGGTAACCAGTATTACTAATGCTATTCATGAAGGACTTGTCTGAGTACTCTGTGTGGATTGCCATTTAGTTCTCACAGCAATGCCCTGGACCCTGAATCTCTAAGTGGGACACACTTGCAATGAGGGTAGATTTGACTTGATTTATTTTCACTTTAAACATTCAAGCCATGGAGGAGGAGGACGAGCTGAGGCTGCGCACCCGCTGGCTGCTGACCGAGTTCCTGGAGCACTGTGCCCAGAGGCCCAGCAGCACCCTGCGGCCGCCCGCCACGCCCGAGGCCGTGGTGCTGCGCTCCCTGGCCGCCGGGTCCTGGCTGGGGACCCCGCACTCCTGGTCCCAGCGGCAGAGACACCGCGTGGAGCAGGTGGTGGACCAGGCGGAGTGGCTGGTTCCTGACGGTGCAGAGCCCACCTGGTTCAGCGTGCTGGCGCTCCTGTCCTTCGCGGGGGCCCTGCTGGAGTGCGAGGCCACTGTGGACAGGGACTGCCAGCGCCTGGCGGCCTTCCTGGGCGGCTGGCTCACCAGGAGGCACCGCGCCTGGGTGGAGGCGCACGGTGGCTGGGACGGCTTCTGCCACAGCTTCCTGCCTGCGCCGCAGGCTGCTTGGGGCATGCTGCTGGCTCCACTGCTGATGTCATGCCTCATACACATCCCCTTAATCTGCTTGTGGGTAAAATCATGGTTGCAAGATGTTTAACCAGTTTCTGCCTGCCTCCCTACGACCAGCCAAGTGGATTGGAGTTGTGAAAATTAAGCAAAAACAAAACAGTTTTAAGCATCTTCTGAGGCATTTTTTACCAGCATCCCTGTAAGGACTCCTCTGGTGATAATGCAGCCAGTGTTTTAGCTCCTGACAAACACGTAAAGGTGTGTGAAGGCCAAGGCACCGGAGTGGCTCCTCTCTGATCGGGGAAAATGGGGATGCAAAGGCTCACTGCTCCGGAGAATTGTAAAAGAAACGGCATTCCATTCCATGGGAAACCCGGTGCTACTTGCTACATTTAGATAAATAGGAACATGAGACTCTCATCTGTCCATAATTTCATGTGCGACTGCTGGTCAGTTTATCAAGGCAGATGGGTCAGGGGTGAAATGGTGGAATGATATCTGGAGTGTTCCAAGTTCCACCCTAACAAAGAATGTAGCACTAACCCTTTATAAGGAATTCTTTCTAAAGCCTTTGAAATGGAATTTTTGTGTTTTAGAGTTAAATTTTATATTAGTGACTTCAATAAATTGTTAAATGTCTTCCAAGTTTTAATAAATTTATGCATCTTTAAAAAAAACCGTTGTTTCTCCTGACAGTTGTTTTAGAAGGCATGTAAGTGAACGAGAGTAAAGAAGGAAGAAGTGTTTTATTTTATTTTTTCTCCTCCAAAATCATCTTCAGTTAGTTGTCAAAAAAGGCTACCTGGCCCCTGTTTTTTTTTTTTTTTTTTTTTAAGATGGCCTACGAACCAAGTTATTTGGTGGAGAGCATAAAGAAATAAGTAGTATTAACCAATCTCTTCCCTCTCTCCTGTCTCAAGACAAGACTCTCCCACAATGCGTGGCTGCTTTCTTACACCATGACTAAACTGTGAGGAGGGGGTCCCTGCTCAGGCTCCTGTTCATAGATGGTTTCCAAGGCTCAGAGGAAGGATATGTTAATTAAATAAGGCACATTTTATTCCTGGGCTATGTTCTGTAATAGTGTGGTCTGCCTATTAATCAGAAGATCTCCTCCTCATTGTTTTATCTTCCCTTTTGATCTATTAAAATTAATGACTATCACCATTTTATTATTTTTTTGGTAATAGTTCTGAGAAGTGAAGTATAAAATATTTTTGGTTCATTTTTGTTGTTGTGTGAATGGAGACAAAGGTTAGTAAAATTAGAATCCAAAAGCAAACTATTTTCTAAGTAGTCCCTTTTGTTTAGGAACTACATATCTATATAATACAAATGTTTATTCAGGGTGAAACTTATTAACACTTTGGGAATAAAACTTTTAATCTTAGCTCCAATAGCATAAAACAAAAACACAAAGGACTTTCAAAACCTGGATTAGTAGTGATTAGTACTAATTAGTAGTAATCAGTTAATTAATTTAGAAAAAAAGAAAATAATGTTGAAGCCAAATCATCTTTTATTATAGAAAATCTATTCAGAGTTCCCAGACCTCTAATAATAAAGAACATGCTACCTAACTTAATTCATTAAAAAATTATGGTAAATTAACTTGCATTGCCTTCTGAATGAAAATTATTTGTCGATGACATCCATTGTTTATGTGCAGTCTAAGAAAGGACATAAAGATTTTAAAGCAAAGCTATACTTTTTAGTTGCATTTAGCACAAATAAGTGACAACTCAAAAGATCCTACATACAGTAGTTCTTGGATAAAAATTTTTCATGATAAAATCACATTTTTAATAAAAGCTATTATTTGTGGTAGTTTTGTGTATACGGAAATTAGAAAGTAGGGTGTACTCTGCATTTTGCTGCTATGTGTCTAGGTAGGTATTAAATTGCTCATGCTCACTTAATGTCTAGACATTTTTTGTTCAATTGTAAATACAGGCTTCTATGGTGCTTTTTCATTTCCAGCAGTATAATGAACTTTGATTATATTTCTTTTACAGTGTCCATTGAAATGTTTACAATTTCAAGGTAATAGAATTAACTATAACTTTCTTTGTCACTTTTCTGTAGTTAAGAGCAGATAGGCACTGTGCATGCTTTGAAATTTCTCACCCAAGGTTTTGAAAAAGAAGCTGCTTAATGGAGGTTAGACATTTGCATATAACAGAATAAAATATACTTTTGATGAAGAGACATGGATGGCACATAAAAGTCTAGTAAAGGACTGACTGCATCACCTCATCCAGAGACCTCATTGAACAAGAGTATTCTTCAAGCCGTGAATAATCATGTAGACCATTTCATCTTAGCAATGCCACAGGGAAGCAGAAAGTAAAGCAACAATGTCTTTTGAAGTCTGGCCCGTTTGATAGGAACCACTGATATGTTTATGACACATAGCCTCAGTGCAAATGTGTGTCCAACAATGTTTCAACACTTCACCGACAGCTAATTTGCAGCAAAAATATAAACTTGAAGATTGTATTAATAGGTGAGTTTTTGAAGGTGAACAAGCAAAGCAGTACTTGGTATTTATGTGTTAAATTTGTAGTTACGTGATTTTTTTTCTCTCTCACTTTGAATACTATGGACAGTAAAGTTCTATTCCTGAAAATCAAGCACAAAATTACCTTAATGCTCTTTGTCAAGTGGATACAAACATTTTATTTTAATATTAGACCTAGTGAGGAATTCAGAAAAGTGCACCAAATAAAAATCAGAACTTGTATTCCGATTATTAGGAAGTGCCTGTTTGAGGTCAAGGGCCATGGATGAAACCTCTGCAAAATCTTGTTTGAGGTTTTGGAATTTCACAGTCATTTTGGCTTCATGTAGGAACATGAAAACCATTGCAAAATAGATAAGAAAATAATTTGATTTTTAAATAGGCTGAAAATACGGAACATAGCTAAAAAAAATTCTTGCTTAGAAGTTAAAATCTAAGGTGTCTTACTGGCCTTTTTGGTTAGAATTCAAGTCACTTGTGCAATGTGATAACCAATTCATTTAAATTATGATCAGAAGGAATGTAAAGGCAGATTGATAATACATATATATATATATATATATATATATATATATTTGGAACTGCTTAAAGTTCTATAGAAACTTGAACACTTTGCTTTTGGATGAGTGGATAATTCTGCATGATATCTTAAATAATGGTGATAAAACAGACAGGCATATTACTTATTATTCTGACTTCCTGTGGTTGATGGCTTGAATTTTCTGAGCTGTGAAGGGTGGGTAAGTAAATGTTCTTGTGTTTCGGACTATGTGTGACTGGTGGAGCATAGCTGCACAGAAATTTGTCCGGGTCGGAACAGTTCCCACCCTGGGACTCAGGGCCTGGTTTGTCTAGTCTGTTGGCTTATCTGGTTTCTTTACTGCAAGAGTCAGAAAGATCTCTTTGTTTTAGTTCTGCCTTGACTATATGGAGGGATGTTTTTAGCTGAGAAGTTTGGGAATAAGAGAAAAGCCTGGTGGGGAATGCCTGAATCCTAACTGTAGGATGAGAATTCTGTTTATGTACTTAATTTAAGGCAGTTTATCCACTTCAGTGTGATTCCATGCCTCCTTTCCCAAAGAACTGTTAACAACCAAAAACCCACCAGCTTTTAGCTAATTTATTCAAGTTTGTCTCTGAATATTTTTTTCCTTCACTGCCAGGATTTCTGAAATGTTCCTGGTTTCCATCAATTTCTGACACATGCCATTCCAAACATACCACTTATATCATAAATCTTCTGGAGAAGTTATGAAAAATGATCAGTTCCTCATATGTAATTGTTTAGTTTCTTTCAGTATTTTCTTTCTAAAAATATTTTATTTCATATTTCACAAGTTTATATATATAAGACAAAGTAAATAGAAGGGCTGCTTTCAATAGATAAATGAATGAGACAATAGTAATTCAAACTGTACTATGGAAGCATATTTAATGTATACTTGAAAGTTGTGTATAAATAATTTTTTAAAAACATGTTTTTATTGATTTCAGACAGAGGAAGGGAGAGGGAGAAAGAGAAAAAACATCAATGAGGAGAGAATCATTGATTGGCTGCCACTTGCATATCCCCTCCTGGGGATCAAGCAGCAACCTGGGCATGTACCCTGACCAGGAATGAAACCTTGACCTACTTGTTCATTAGTTGATGCTCAACCAACTGAGCCACATTGGGCGTGTATAAAGAATTTTAACTATGCACTCCAGGTTCCAGGTTTTTTTTTAAAAAAAATAGATCTGGTATATAAGACACTTGTGGTTATTTTGGGAGAGGTAAAGCCAATGTTAAGCTACTTATATTTGAGTACCATTACAAATATAGGATGTTAACTAACAAAATAGCAATCTTCAAAGTTCTCTTTGTCTCATGCTCACACCTTTGTATTCTCACTCCATTTGCTCATTTCCCTTTCTGTTGTACTCTTGAGTTCCCTATGAATTTTACCCATCTCCTTTCTCTGAGCCTTCTCATACATTGCCATTCTCTTCTTCTTGGAAAAAAAAAATCAGTATAGAGATTCCACAGATAATTAACTATCACCGCAATCACAGTGATAGCAATCATGCCCATTCTTAACGCCCTGCATTGAAAATTCAGGTGCTTTTTCACGGACATGATGTACTGAAGTGTAACTGGGGCCCAAATATCCCACAGTTTACTTTAAATGCCTTGTTTTTATTCATGGTGTTTGTAAGGAGGCATTTTCTAACATGTCTGCCGTAAATCACTATGGCCTTCTTCTTTCTTTCTTGACTAAAGCAGTATTTTAGAAACTTTTTTTCCACTGTGATTTACACCGAGAAACACATTTTACATTATAATTCATTACAAATATATGTACATACATTAATGAAACGAAAGCAAGTTAATGAGACAGTATTCATCATTGTGATGCACATGTACTTACTTATTTTTCTATTCTTGTCTCGGTATTTTATTAAGAAACATGGTTTAATTTCATGACCTGCTTATAGAGTAGACGCCTCAAGTAACAAGCAAGTGCTTCGAAACACATCTTTGCCTGTCCTCTGAGTGCGCTACACCCGTGAGCTCTCAGCTCTTTTCA